ATGCAAATAATTAAATAAAAGAATTAGTTTAAGTAATATTAAAGAAACAGAAAATGTAAATTACAATAAATAAAAATTCAAATTAATATTACTGTAAAAGTTTATATACAAGACCCGAGTCAGTTTCATTCCACCAATTTTTAAACTCTTTAGTAGACCCGAGTACATGTAAAGAAAAAATTTAAAGTGCATGTACACTTTGTATTTAAGGTACTCTAACTATTTGAAAAAAACTGCATTTAATTAATAAAGATTTCTGTGGTTCGTGGGTCTACTATTTTGATCCTTATAATAACAGGCCAAAAAATTTTTTTAAATTATCTGCAATGTATAAAAATTTAACTTGTTAGCATTAAATAAATTTAATTAATTTGTTAAAAAAAGCATAAATATTAAAATTGCTTACTAATTTTTAAAAAGATCTAAGTGTATCGTTAAAAAAATTTTTACATATAGATTTTTTTTTGAAAAACTAGCCTTTTCAATTAATTGAAAATAAGAAGAAAAATCTCAAATTTTCTTCACACAAAGTTGATTTTTATTACAAAATATATGTAAATTGCCCAAATTATAATAAAGAAGACTTGCTATTTACTATTACGTTAGTTTTACTATTCTTCATTCTCATCAGGATAAACTAATATTCTAAAATCAACACTTTCTACTATTATAACTCATGCTTCTTCTAAAGCAATATTTTGGTGATCTTCAAAAATTAAGCATAATGTAGTTTCTGGTACCAAAATATCATATAGATATTGATTTGGTGTTTGTGGAGAGATATGATCTTTCATAAGAATTTTTTTTTTTATAATAAAATACTCTTGAAGATATTCAGCTATAATCGATAATCCTTTTGCCCTATAATAACCTGGCTAAAAATATACTAAAATTATAAATAATTAAAACAAAAAATTTTTTACTTAAATATAAGTTATATTTATCAAAATTTTATGAAATCGATTCATCATAATCATTGGCATAAATGCTTTAACTTGACCCATATTGTTAATTATTTGTCTTGCCCAATCATAATAAAAGCTAGATATCTTCTTATTAATAATATCAGTTAGAAGAAGAAAAAGTTTTGAAACTTGACTTGTTAAGATATTAAAATCAATTTCTGTAGGGTAGCCTTTAGTAATTCCTTGTAAAATAGTTGTAGTTTCTTCATTATGTAGTGAACACGTATAAGATTTATTTGTTTCTAAAAAGTTTTCTATATAAATATATATATATAGTTAGAAAAAAAA